TGCTGTTTCATGTTCTTGTAGATGAGAGAATATTTCTTCCCATAGTGTTATTATTACATTTTTGTTGCTAAATGATTATTAAACCTTATTGATGTGTTACCAATTTACAATGCATCCAAAAAGAAAATTTCTCCTTCCCCAAACCAGACAGCCTAAAAGACAGATAAGTTAGGAGAAAAGAAAAATCACAAGAAAGGGCACAGAATTAATATAGTAACTTGTTTAGGAGACACATAATGTTGTTTATAAGTATTATCTTTGTGCTTTTTAAGAGAAAACATGCATTTTTTGCAGGTACAACTATAGAAAAAAGAGGTGTGAGGAGTGATCTAGTCTTTTTCTAACTTGAAAAGGGAGGCTTATACCAATCTTGGAACTAAAAGGAATGAAAAATGTTGGCTTTGTTTGTTTGTTTGTGTTTTTGAAGGAAGGAAAGTGTATTTTTAATCTCTCTTCTCAAATAATCTTTTTAGGGGTTTCACAACCATCAGGATAGGCATGTCAGAACACTACAAATATCAAATACATGGTTGTGTAAACAGTTGTGCAAAGTTGTTTCTAACTACTGCTGCTGTTGAAGATTGCCCATAGTCACAGGAAATGTGAAAAACAAACAATCAAAGAAGCCAACAAGCAAATATTAACAAAGGACTCCTGTTCATTTCAAAGTCCAAAACTCGAGGAACACCTTTGTGGCAGAGCTCATTTGTGCACTCAAGTGCTATGATTTATCTGTAAATATCATGTATTTTGATTTGTGCTTCAAGTCTTGCCTGTTCCGAACAGTATATTTTTTTTTGTTTTATTCAGATACGCATTCCCAAAAGGATAGCTAAGTTCTCCCTAGTAAGTGTATGAGTTATATGAATCATTATTAATACTCTTAGTTCTCTCTTCCTAAAATATAAACAACTCTGCTAGTATGGTAGAATCTAATATACTGCATAATAAAAAGCCATCCAAAAATGTAAATAAAATTGGCTGACAAAAAAGGAAGCAAAAACAAACTATTCAAAAGATAAACTATCTTTTTTTGTTTTTTCTTTTCACTGAATTGAAGTTATATGTACATGCAAATTATGTTTTAAGACACAGAATTGCTATCTAAGAGTGAATAAAAAATTATAGTATCAAATACTAAATAGATTCTGAACATGATTTTTTTTTTTTAACTAGTCAGCAGTCAAAAAATGGTTTTGTATCACTTGGAAAACTTCTAATATAAATTCAGAATTTCAGGGATTTCTAAATCTGTTGCAACACCTTTTTATTGGATTTCTTTGATGCTGGTCAGAAGGGAGTTATGGTAAACTGAGAGAGCTTTTTTTGGACTCCCTTTGGAAATCCTCAGTTCCATCTCTCATGCAGAGGAAGGCTTTGAGCAAAGCTGTGGTGAGCGAGCCAGACACAGAAAGTGCTGTGACTTAAAAAGCCACCCAGTAGTTTGCTTGTGTAAAAAGCACTAGGTTCACTCTCCTCCCTGGAGCAGCCCAGGAGGGGGAGGCACAGAGCTGGCTGATGGCCACCCTGGTCCTCAGGTCCCCCAGGGTGTCACTTCTCCCGAATCAGCCCTCAAGCTGATCTGCTGGAACATAGAGACCTGTCTCTGTAGCTCTACAGAAAGCCTGTGGTCTAAGTCAGATGTCAGTATATATGTTTTAATAAATGATCTTGAAATATGCTATTTACACCATGGATCTGGAACTTCACTTGAGGGTTTTCCAATTTAAAAACAGCAGTGTTTCAAAAATCTGTGTGGGGAGATAACAAAAAAATGCCTTCCCTGGCTGCTTTTGTGTTCCTAGTTTTCAACAGAAGCAGTTTTTTTGTTCAGTTAAGTGTTTTGACAATAGAAATTTGTAATGCAAATGCTCCCCGTGTCTCAATGAAAGCAAGCTAAAAAGCAAGGGTTTCATGTATCAGCACTGTTGCATCTGATCTGAGAACCATTTTCTAGAGACCCCTGCAGTCAATTAACTAAATCAGACTTGCTGATGGACTACAGCTTGCATTTTTATCTATCTGAGGGGGTGGAGAGAAAACTTAGTCATTTTGTAGTGTTTGTAAAAAACTTTGGACACGCAGAAGGTTCATTACATAAATTGATAGCAAGCAGGGTTGAATATTGCATTATGACACAAATTTGCTTTAAAAAAAATTCACTGAAGAGAAAGGAGAAATTTCTTTCAGACGCTGTTTTGTCTCTACATTTATATGTTCTATCACTTCAGTTACCACTGGTTTCAGCCATAAATTATCTTAATATAGAAGGAAAGTTTTGCATGTGGGTTGACGGAAGGAGCCTAGTTTTAGAGGTTTCTGTACATCTACATAATAAACAATAAGATTATGAAGATAAGTCAGATCAGAGGGATGGGTAGTATGATGGTCTGCAGCAAGACTGTGTGATCCAATGGGCAACCCTCAGATGAGATCGAACTCTGTGTTCGTTCTGCTGCATTTTCAGCTCTACTGCCTGAATAGCCAAATACCATCCTGCACCTGCGGATGACCAGCTCTGAGCTGGGGATAGCTGCCATGCCATCAGCCCACAATGGATGGGACAGGAGGAATATCCTCCATTACGAGCAGC